TTTTTTTTTTCATGTCTTAAGCTACGCGTGCATGCATGAACATTTGTTCATTATTTCTCAGCTTCCCAAAGGCAAAACTGAGTTACAGGGTGCATGTAGAATCCTATAGARTGTACCTGGATGGGATCCTAGAGTCATCTGGTCTATTACTCCATCCAAGGCAAAATAAACTCTGCTGCTGTGCTTCCTGAGGCAATTTATGTGCAATTTCCGTTTTTTCCGTCTTTTCACTTGAACAAAAGAAAAAAGGTTTCTAATGCCTTGGGGCGGGGAGAGGAAGTGCTGTTTTCACCTCTACTTTCAAGAGACTTGTGAAGATTTTTTAAAATTTCAGCTGGAATGGAATCATAAAAGTGAACTTGATAGTAGCCAGGAAAGGTATGTCAGGTTCCCAAACAGCCCTCAAGACACAAATTCAAACTGGACGCCTCATATTTTGCTATTTAATGCACTGGTGAGCCAGAATATCTCTTTTATAGACATGCTCTGGTTTTGGGTTGTCCGTTTTTCAGCTGCAAATTTAATCTTTATGATATAATCAAGTACATGGTACCATCAGTGTCAGGATGTGCWATCAGAACAGGGAGGGGGCATTTCGGTTGCMKGCTGTTGCTGTTTTGATTGGTTTTYGTCTTTCTAGAAGCAATGCTTATCTCTGATAGGAACTATGGCTTTTCTGCTTCTGCTTCTGTCTAGATTTATATTGCAGTGAGGAATTTTGGAAGTATGTGTGTAAATATTCATTTTTACATGTAAAATTACTTCATAAATAATTTCACTTTTCTCTCTGCTCTACAAGCCTTAAAGCAGTAACAATTTCCAAAGAAGGCTTTTTACAGTATCATTTGTGTCTTTTCCCTGTTGGCCTTTCTTTTTGTTGTATGTTTTGGATTGTGATTTACAAACAAAAAATAATTCCCAATTTGCATAATTCCCAATTTTATATTGTTACTATCCTAAAAAATACTAAGATCTGTTCCCTATGTGATCTCTTCAGATGTTTTGCCATTTTATTTCTTTATCTTATTAAAACTGGAATTCAGGCTTTATGAGAAGAAACAGTAAGTACATTTATATATAATTGCTCCATGTATGTGTTGGCTGCCTACATGAAAGCCACAACCCTTTGTTTCAAGGATAGTTAGATAGTTTTGAGGGCTCAAATGTGCATCCAACTATTAATGCTCAGAAAAGTTCAGTTATTACTTGTCAAAATTAATATTTAAGAATCTCTAATGTGTTACTCACTATAATTTGAAGCCTCTTCATAAGGAATCAACCAGCATTATCTGGTRGGAGTAGTTTGCCATGACAGCACTCACTGCCTTTGGGTGGGAGCTCCTGTCCYGTGTAGAAGACAACTGAAGCTTTTCCCTTCCTTCTTGACAGACACTGCCTGTAAGAACCRGCCCCTAGACCTCGTCTTCATTGTAGACAGCTCCCGTAGCGTCCGACCTGAAGAGTTTGAGAAAGTGAAAACCTTCTTGTCAGAAATGATCGATACTCTGGATGTTGGTGAAAGAACAACACGCGTGGCCGTCATGAACTACGCGAGCACCGTCAAGGTGGAGTTTCCCCTCCGCACTTACTTTGACAAAGGCTCTCTGAAGGAGGCCGTGTCTCACATTGAGCCCTTGTCTGCTGGCACCATGACTGGCCTTGCCATCCAAACTGCCATGGATGAAATCTTCACCGAGGAAATGGGCAGCCGGCCAGCAGCCTTCAACATCCCCAAGGTGGTCATTGTTGTGACAGATGGACGGCCACAAGACCAGGTTCAGGGTGTGGCGGCGAGCGCCCGGACAGCTGGCATTGAGATCTACGCGGTCGGGGTGGGCCGGGCAGACCTGGAGTCCCTGAGGATCATGGCCAGTGAGCCCCTGGATGAACACGTCTTCTATGTGGAGACCTATGGTGTGATCGAAAAGCTGACATCCARATTCAGAGAGGCCTTCTGTGGTAAGGGGATCAGTCCAAGAGGGTAGTGTAATTTAGCTCCTTTTGACTTCTGCTATGGTTCCCCTCCCTAAGAGAGAAGTTTTTCACAAGTGTTATGTATCACATCTAAATATTTCCTTTGCCATCCGTTGGGCAAACCAGCCAACCCTCAGTGGAAGCCAGGTAATGGCCTTTCACTTGGAATAGTGACAGTGAAGGTAACAGACCTGACTTGAGTGGACCTCCTTGTACCGTTGGTTGGATTTAGAGCAAGAGAAATCACAGTGCTCTGGATGGGGTTTGGCTGCCTRTGTTTACTGAATTACTGAAGGTACACACCAGAGCTGTGCAGGCTGCTCATTTCTTTTCCCATATCACTGGGAAGCAAGGAGAGTGGGAGTATGGAGCTGAAGGGCTCCTTATAGGCTCAGAGTAGGAAAATCAGTGTAGCAGGTAAGCCACCACACTGGCATGAGCAATCTGGTGCAGGATGAAGTGCCCAAACCCAGTGTTAGGTCATTTTGGGACAGGCTTCCATTCCKTAGGTACTGCTGGGTTTTTCCAGTGTACCAAGCTCACATCTCCCTCTTGTTTCTCTACAACTCAATTTAGACAAGGAACTGTGGTATGGGATGAATTAGCTTCACATTTTCAGGAAAAATGCTGGATGTATTTGGTCTAGAACTCCACTAACAAAGCTAGGACAGAGTGGGCTGTTATTGTCATTTACAGGGGAAAAAGGTAATCTGGAGTATTTAGAACTGCCTATAGATACTGTGACACATCCCTACTCACAAAAATCAAATGRCAACTTTTTGACAATCAAAAAACCTTGTGCACAGTAGATTTTTCTAGTAAATTTCTAAGAAATTTACTTTAAAATGTCTCCAGCAAGTCCAAAAAAGTCCAGCAAAAAAGTCCAAAAACTCCAAAAAAGTCTCCAGCAAGTAATAGATAAAATCAGGTGTAAATAACATTGTAAGAGAATTAAAATAACAGCCACTGCCTTGGGAACTTGTTTGCATGTGTGTTACTTTGCTCAGAGTCTACTAAAAATTACCACCACACCTTTTGAGTACGTTTAGAGTGAATGGACCCCTTTCTCTAGGTATGAAATAAATGTGTAAGACCATCTGCAGWCAGGACACTTTGTCCAGTAGTTAGCACAGGAATTGCCTTGAGGTTTGGCTTGACACCATGTTGTGCTGCTGATGTGACCAGATCCACACAAGTGGCCACCTGGCTGGACAGGTATGTGTGCTGTGAACATAGCACTCATTTCCACCTCTGCTCTCATCAAAGCAAGTCCTTTCATAGCAGCAAAGAAAAAACTCTWGTTCTTAGGAGTAAACTTACTGTTTATTGTGCTGAAGCATAGAAATTATGCCCACGCAAGGCTGGAGGACAGTCAGAGAGCTCACACATCTACACTTCCAGTGTAACTCTGAGTCCTCTGTGTGCAATTTGCCAGAATATGTGGAATTCATGAAAAAAAAAGAGGGTGAAGGAAATAGTTTTAAAAAAGACTCCTATAAACCAATGAATCTAAGAGGATCTTATAAGACAGCGTGGTAAACTGGGACCCTTTCCAGATCCAGACTGCTTTTTGATAAAAAATCTGGACTCACCAGTGACAACTAGGATTTTTTTTTTGCTTTGACCAAGGCAAATAAATTTGTTTGTAGGGTGAACTGAAAACAGGAAAACTAATGTTAAGGGGGAAAATAGTTGGTTAAAATCAAGTTCTTGATGCACTGTGAGAGCATTATTCAGCACAAAACCATCCGATGGAAAATCTTAGCCTTGAATTGCTGTCCAAGTCAGTGGACGTTGACTTTCCTGCCACAAAAATTTGACCRTTTCGGTCTGAGCTTCTCRCTTAAGCCTTGAAAATATCRTCCAGAGAYTTTGTTCATAAGTCATGGAGATTAWTTCTCTTATTCCCAAGCAGAATRAAAAGGTGATGACTTGGGTTCAAATTCATTTTCACCAATGGAAAGACAAGACAYTCTATCAGCCTTTTTGGGAGACTTCTAAATCTTCCATGTTTTAGAAAATAGGAAATATTGCTTTGTTTTCATGAGAAATGTTCAAACACTCTTGCTTCTGATTTCTTGTCTCAGCACTATTGCTTTGGAGTTGGATTTTACCAGTACTCCATACCTATAATCTAAGTAAAATCTCAGGTGAAAAGAAGCTTGTCTTCCCATTTTCCTCCTCTCTTTAATTTCTTTTTCTTTCTTCCTTTCTTTCTTTCTTCCTTGTCCCCCTTTTTTCCCCACTTTTTTCCTCCACACTTTTTTTCTCGAACCTTCCCTCTGCCTTTCCCTTTCTCCCCTCGCCCCCTTAAATTTAGTAATCTGAAAGGCATCTAAGTTTAAGTGAGTGACTAGGCTTCCTTTGTAGTCTGTGGAGATAAACAGGGGCATCTTGATGTCACCAAAGAAGAAGCATATCCAAAGCTAAATACACTTGAGAAAAATTGATCAGAAGTTATTKAGTTACTTTTAGACCTTTTCTGTGAAGGAAAAGACTGTTGGCACATACATTGAAGAGACAGCTGCATACACCATACTTCTGGCACTTATATGTCCATCACACTGCGGTTGTGCCACTGTTTTCTCTGTTCTCAGTGTGATGAAATACTGTTGTGCAGGGAAATCAGTTGGTCCTGAAAACTTTATCTCATTCTGCAGTTTCAACTTCTCACTTCTCTGAGATTTGGACATTATTTCTGTTCTTTCCTTCAAATGTGAGGTTCATGCATGTACATGTACCCTACTGTAGGGACTTTTCTGCATATCCTCCTTTGGTCCTGACATTTAAATCTGATGGCTCAAGGCAGCTGTAGCCCTCACAAACCCCGTCTTGCCCTGGTGGGTTTCCTTTCTGGCTGATACATCTATACCACCCATCAAGCAATCTTTTTATCCCCGAGATGAGAGTATGTTTTTCAAGTGTCTCTGACTAATTGCTTTGTTCCTACTGGTTTTGATGCTCTATTTTTAGATTTTATTTTATTTTATTTTATTTTATTTTATTTTATTTTATTTTATTCAACTTAATTTCATTTTGGTTTCTGTTGCATTTCAGTTTACCCAGGAGTTTTTTACAGGGCAGCAGGAACTCATAGATCAGGTTCTGTGCCAGCGAGCTGAGGTTGTTAAGCCAACAGACAGTGACTGATACATTTTACCAGTATTTCAACTGGCTGTCTGTAATAGAAAGGGACTGGATACAAAGACCCAGATGGTCCTTTTCATTGCTGAGTTCTCATTTCGAGTATAATGTTGCCAAATACCTGAACTCTTTCCTTGTTGAACCCTTTTCAGTTCCTCCTTTCTCCTGCCACCTCAGGTGGTGAGTTATTTCCATAAAGGAAGCCTGTCACTTGTGACAGAGGCACAGCACTGACATTTACTACCRCTAATCCAGCAAACAGTGCAAGATGTACCTTTGTAAGCATGAATGATTAATGCCTGTCCTCTCCTCTGGGATGAGTGAAATGCCTCTCTGCCAATGCCCTTTGCAGCTGTGAACATGTGTGCCCTGGGGACCCACGGCTGCGAGCAGCTCTGTGTGAGTAACAGAGCATCCTACCACTGTGATTGCTACAGAGGATACACTCTGAATCCAGACAAGAGGACCTGCTCAGATGTGACTCCTTTGGAAAATGAGTGCAACTAGAAAAAAGTCATTTTTGAACACTATAATTGGATTTGAGAAGGTACTTGTGTGCTTCTGTTAAAACACCTGTATCTTTTTCAACCATAAAAAAATCTAATAATGAATAATAAATAAAGGTCAGCTGCAAGCAATGGTGAGATATAATTTGATTCTATCACTGTCCTTTTTGTTGTGTCTACAGATCCATTCATTAGGGCCAGATGCCAAAATAGTCTTTAGATGTAAGCACTGTATAGATATTTTCTCCTMCCACTTGTTCTAATCCCTTCATTTACTATTGCCATTTCTGAGCCGATTGCAAATTGAAATAATAATAACTGAAATTAAAAAATGTTGAGTGTGCACTCCATGCCACACTGCCTGCTATTAACAATGAGTTGTTTCTCTGACATKTCTAACAAGCTGTGGACACGTGTGCACCTGGAAGGCACGAATGTGATCAGATCTGTGTGAGTAACAACGGATCCTATGTCTGTGACTGCTATGAAGGCTACACCTTGAATCCAGACAAGAAGACTTGCTCAGGTAAGAAATAAAGGCTACTTGAATAAATGAAACCCATGGAGATATGGACACGTTTTCTGWGGCTTACTCTAAAATGAGAACTCAGCTGTAGTCTTTCCCCTGGGTTCCAATAACAATAAAATTACATTTGTCTTTAAGTGTGTTGATTAAAGAATGCAGTTCGGTAGTTATCTACCATTTTATGGTCTTCACAGCATTCCATAAACATTGTTTAGCTGCTTAGTCTGACAYGAGGCAGGTTACTGCTCATCTCATGTGGGTTTTTAACTTCATCCTTATCAGGGATGTTGGAATTGCTGATGAAAGTAAGAACAGCATAAAATGTAGTGTAGTCATCTCCATTAAATAATTAATAACTCAATTCAGTTGTCTACAGCATAATATAATAACGTAGCAAGACACTGATTAAATATTAATTAAACTGTAATTACAAATGTTGAGCATTTAAAACAGTGAAGTGTCTGGGAGGGATTAACAGGTTTATTTTCTGAACCATATCTCACCACAGCCTTGGACATGTGTGCACCTGGAAGGCATGACTGTGCCCAAGTCTGTGTGAGGAATGACGGATCCTACAGCTGTGACTGCTATGAAGGGTACACTCTGAATCCTGACAAGAAGACTTGCTCAGGTAAGATCTGATTAAGGAAAAGTTGTGTTCCACTAAAAGCAAGTAGCTTTTCAAAATCTGGCTAATTTATATGATTTTTCTGATAAATTAACCCATAGTTTCTGTGCAATTCCTGAAAACTTGGGGCAACTTTGTTTCTTCATATGAACAGTAGTAATTTGAGACCCTTGGCTCTTCTCCAGTTGTGTYAAGGTTATGTTTGGTATAATTAAAATGCCATTTGGCATTTCCTTGAAGACTTCACAGTATTTTCAGACCCATGGAGGGTGAATTGCCATATCCAATATGTGATGTGTACCACCTCTGCCAGAAAACTCTTCAGCAAAGCAGCACAAGGCAATGAGATGAGAGAGAGCAAGGATTRTGCTGGAAGGGAGCTTGAAGTCTGTATCATCATGAGTGTGATTGCTCTCATGTGTTTGGACCTTAAAAAAATATTCCAACCTTAGAGCTCTAGAGGATGGAAGGAGATTTCCTTCTCAGTGCTGGTCTCTTGTGGAGAACAGAAATATGGATGTAGCTGGTGCTCAGGGATATACACATAAGTATATATTATCTACAAATTAATATCTATTATATATTATCTTCACTTGATTAGGGTTTCATCTTCAGTCTTGATTTCTTTGGATGTYTCACTGGCAATTTATTTAGGGAAAATGCTTTTTTTTCCCACTTCCACTATAATCCCTTTCCTTCCTATATTTTATGTGACAAAGTGTTGAATTAGGCTTCCAGCTCCATGAGGTTCCCAGRCAGAGCCCTCCAGTTAAATCAAAGGTCTCACATCTCAAAGAGGTGAAGCCAGAGGGCCTCAGTATTTCTTCCTGCCTAGGCTAGGAGCTGATTTTGTAAACACAGTGCCTAGGATTAGCTCTTAGCTGGCATTACAGAGAGACAGTAAACATGTGAGAAAATGTAAATTTATTCAGGCATCCTTTTTGGGAGTCCAATTCTGAACCTCATTTCATAGCACCGATTCTCCTCCTGAACAAACTTTAAATTATTTTCTTCACATGCTTGCTTTTTTTTTCTCCTTTTGAATCTCATTTTGCAGTATGCTGCTAATTATTTCCATCCAGGTCATTGTATCACACACATGTGCAAAAAATGATGCAAAAATAGTATAGGTCCAGGAGAGGATCTTTTTCTTCTTTTCCCTTTTTCTTTCTTTTCCTTTGCTTCCCTTTCCCTTTCTTTCTCTCTTTCTTGTTCTCTTTTCTTTCTCTCTTCTTCTCTTCCTTTCTTTATCCTTTATCCTTTCTTGTGCCTTACTGGGCCTCCTTACAGCAAAAATATCCAAATATAGGAACTCCTTCTCAGCTTGCCCTTTCAGAACTGATGTGTTAAATTTGGCAGAAAACAGCAGCCTYGCACATAAAGTGCCCACTTTGTAACTGGCAAGTGGGTGTCACATTTCTTCTTTTTAGCAGCCATGTATACTTTTCTGTTTATGGTCTTTTCACTCCATAAAACAGTGTCTTCTCCAACTCAATTAGAGCTGAAGTAATGCCAAATAGTCTCTTAAAATCAAGATATTTGTTCTCTGAAATTCTGTTGGATAATTGTTTCATAACGGCATCACTTCTAGTTCCATTCCTTTTGCAATCTGTTACAGCTGCAAAAAAGTGTTGCCAGTATTCCAAAACTCATACTAATTTTGTGATGTTTGATAGCCWGATAAAAACACACTCTGTGCACCCTGCTCTGGTTAATAGCACGCTGACATGCAGTAAAARCACCCTGGTTTGAATCCCAATGAAGATACATTCACGAATGGGAATTTCTGTGACCACCTCTCAAGGCTGAAGTTTGGATATTGATTAATGTTCTTCTCCTCTGAAATGCTCCCTCAGCTGCTGACGTGTGTGCTCCTGGCAGGCACGACTGTGAGCAGGTCTGTGTGAGGGGTGACCTGTTCTGCACCTGTGACTGCCACCAAGGCTGCACCTCAACCCAGACAGGAACACTTGCTCAAGTAGGAGCAGATTGCTCATCCCTTTCTCCCATGCTTTCCCCAGCTAAGTGCACCTATTGCAATAGCTGTCCTTATTATATTTGTGTATTTTAATATATTTGTATCTGAGGAACTTTCACGTGCATTCAGGTGTTAAACAATAGCTCTGCCTTGCCCACTATGAGAAAAATTCAGAGATACAAAGAACTTCATATGTAACAATGTTAGTAAATACTTACCACACTGTCCTTATCATCTTATAACTAAGGTCTTCCCTAATTTTCAATATTCAGCAAACTCAGAACTGAGAAATTGTTGAAGAGAGAAGAGCTGGGGTTAGTCACACTAACTTTTCAGTACTGTGGAATATGTGTACCACCATGCAAGACAGTTTGAGGTGATGTTCCCCCCCCCGGCTGAATTTCATCTTGCTGTTCCTTTCTTTAGCTTCTCAGTGACTTTGTGTTACAGTAAAAATGCAATAATTTCAGTAGTGTTTCTTTCCTTCCCAGTCTCCTTACTATAAAGTTATTGTATACTGGAAACCTTTCCTAGTGTGCCTTTGGAGATGATGTGGCACTTCCCATCTGGTGGGGTTAAGCAGCTGGGTCAGAGGGAGCAAGGACTGAGGTAYCCCTTGGATCAATTAATGTATTGATCCCCAGCAAGACAATGAGTTTATCTTGCTGCTCCAAGGCAAGATCAGTTACACATCTCAGTAGTTCCTAGATTCTTGAGGATAGGCTCCCAGCATGGGAAAGCATTGCCATTGGGAAGCATTAAAAATGCTGTCTTGTTTTTGGGTAACTGCTTCTCCAAAGCACATCCTGTGTGAACTGATTTATGTGCATCAGGARCTCATGACTGGCAGCAGGTCTGTGTGAGTTGATCATAAACCTGTGACTRCTATGAAGGCTTTGCCTTAAATTCAGATGACAAAACATGCTCAAGTAATAATTTAATTTTGGGGCTTTTTCTGAATGTGTTTATTGAAGCACCTCTTTTTAATGTGTTAAACATTTGTAATCTGTTTGAGAAATAGTCTATCAACTCATAAGATCCCAGGAAGTATAATCCATTTTCATTCTTTTATGCCTCTTTCCATGAATATTTAGAGCTAGTTTGGTCCTTCTTGTTTAGTTACAGCAGTTACTGTATTTGAAATTAGTTTATATTTAATGTTGACTCTTATCTATTAACACACATTAAAGGACTCACTGTATTTGAAAATATAATGTCATAATCCAGATTCCATGGGGTTCAGGAGGGGAACAGAACTCATTTTAGAGCYACTGCAATGCTAAACCTTATATTCTTGCCCACTCCTCCAAGCTGAGTGGGSCAAGCATGAACTCACCAAYTGTTTTCTGTTCRGATGGGCAATACTGGGATCAAATGTTGGTAGAATCTCTCCACAGTTTGATGTAGAATCCTAAGTTAAGTTGGGTTGGAAGGAACCTTAAGAGGTACCTCACCCAGCCCCTGGTTCAGTGCAGGAGTGACCTGCCATCACATCTAGTGGYTGAAGACAAACACCATCTGCAAAGGTAGTTTCTTGTTGGTCTGGACTGAACACAAATGCAGTGTAAAACTGCAGCTTTAGCATGTTTTGCATGACTCCAGTGGCAACAGGAATGCCCCAGATTTTGAATATCAGATACAAGAAGATTCTCARTTTCACAGAAGGACTATGGAAGAATTCAGACTACCCTTGAACAATTGCCAAAGTTGGTTGGAATACTAATTTTGTTAAAATAGACACAATCCAAGGAGGATCTGTGTCTGTCATTGGAGAATTTAAATGCAGACATAAAAAATTCACTGGCAGTTGGTTGGAAACCGAGTGTGTTGGTGTGATATTTTGAACTGGCCTTCCTCCAAAGACTCTTGAACAGCTCTTCTTTGTACATTGACCACAAAAGCCAGTGGAATGTTCCAAAGAAGGGAGCTGAACAAATACAGGTTCACTGGAATCAAGGAGACACCAGTTTCAACTCTGGCTTTAAGGCAAATTAATTTTTCCACTGCCGGAAGATTTTGCAGTTTCCTTGCAAAATGGGACTATCAATGACATGACGGACAAACAAGAAAAAGAAGGGAAAACCATTGAGGAAAAAGGGAAATGTACCCAGGTATTATATTTCTATTGTTTTACTGTTACAATGCACACACACTTGGTTTGGCATTGATCAATGATGCACTGGCAATGATACACATAAACATATCTAGAGAAAAAAATTGATTAATATGCTATTATTGCCTTTGCAARTAATGTAAAAACACATTTATGAAGAGATGGGTATCATATACAGGTAATACCTCTTAATAACTTACTGAAAATGTATTTGTAGTCTCTTTTAAGGCTTTGCCTTTGGAAGCTCATTATWCCAGTGTCAAATGTAGATGGTGATCCCACCACACTACCTGTGTTGCAGTAGCTGTTGATATATTTGTTCTCAGCCTTCAGCAAGTGGTGCAGCCTTAAGTTACTCACTTTRTGAAGTAGGTGAGGTTAAATTGCCTTTCATGCAGCTAAGAACTCACAGCCATCTGCTGATGCTTGATATTATCATACCACAATGACATTGTTGTCTCTCTAAATGTCATCATTGCTGGTTTTGTTATGAATTATGAACAAAAAGGAATTCTTGAGGACAGCTGATGCTAGTCCCCTAATAAGTCTGAAAGGCTGAGGTCAARACCTAGGAACAGATCCAATGGAAGCACTATGGAGTATAGCAATGCTTGCTTGCTTTTTCTGAAGAGACTGGGGACTTCTCTGTCACACTAAGTGGCTCCTCCAGTACTCACTGGAAARGATTTGTGCCCATCCTCTTGAATCAAGAACGATATTCCCTGTGCATACATGTTGCCAAAATTAGAAAGCAAGAGTACTTACRGGGCGACACAATTRAMGTTGATGAGGWTGAGSAGTCTGGTTGGTCTCTGCAGAMAGGCCCKKTTTTTTTKKTGKTTTTWTTTTYTTTYTTTCTTAGTAATGSTCTAATTTAAAGAGTRTAGAGGATCCAGGYAGGCAGGCAAGGAACTCCCTGCTCTGCCTCCTAGTTGGTTAGAGTCCAGCACTCTCTTGCCTGTCTTCACTCAGGTCTTTGGCTACACACCAGCCCTGGTTCACTGCTGCCCCTCCTTCCCATCTGCCCTGGATTGCAGTGCATGCTGTAGTCTCACAGCATGGGTTTGACTCCTTCTGCAGAATCAAGCATTTTCTTGAGATTTACATGTTCAATAATTGTAATAAATATACTGAATGCTGTTTTCTCTCTTAGGAGCCATAATGAGCAGCCTCATAACAACTGAAGAGTCCTGTAAGTGTGAAGCCATAATTGCCCTCCAGAACTCAGTGACCTCACGCCTCAAAGCTCTGTCCACAAAACATATCCTTTTTCATACGTGATATCCTGCATTAAGCAATTTACTGTTATTTTAGAGGAGGCTGTTTTGATATAAACAAGGGAAGAAATATCACTCGAAAAAGAAAGTATTTTCAGGGTGATTTAAAAAATGTTATGGTAAGAAATCTTGATTGTTGCGAACACCACTGTTTTCACATTTAACTGAAGAGCAACATAACACAGATAAAATAAATGACTRTGCCCATATCCCCTAGATTATATATGCCATGTTGAACATCAAGCGCTGCTCTACTTGTAATTCTTCTGGATGACTTTTACTTTTAGAGCAAATGCTCAGTTTTGAGCCCTCCTATTATGTCCCAAAASTTTATCGACAATTTCACAGGCAGTGTGTCAACAGTTCCATCAACTGTGGTATTCCTCTGCATCCCACCTCCACAAGCAGGCACTGTCCCAAGTGATTGTTTCAAACRCCTTATTTTCTCTGAAAATGTGTGAGCTTGTTGGTATTCTGGRTAAGGGGGAATGGGAGAGGTGGAAGGCAGGGTGCTGGAAGCTCTGGGCAAGCCGTGGGTCCAGGGGAGTTTTGAGGTGCTGGGTGGAATTTGCCAGCTCTGCTGCAGTGCCTTGTCTGCAGCCAGGAAGAGAAATGTGGTCAGCCCCCGGATCAGACATTCCACAAACATGTGGGAGAGAAAAAAAGCCCAACCAACAARCAAAGAGAAAGTGGTGAACTTTGTGGAACCACAACAAGCCTGAATGCTGGGATAAATGCCCTCAGGTGACACGGTAGGAACTAATAACTGGAAATTAAAGAGAGACAAGATGTGGTRCATCATAAGGCATAATTTTTAGAAGTGAGAATGACTGATCACTGTTAGAATTTACCAAGGATTGTGGCAGATTTTCTTTGCTGAAAATTTTTGAGACTGAATGCTTTTTTCTATCAAAGGTGCTSTGGTTCAAATAGGAATTGATATAAAGGAGCATTATGTCTGTGGTTATCATTCTGATCCCTGGGGCTTCAAAATAAAGGAAGAGAGGGGTATTTAACTAAAAAAAAAAAAAAGGGAGAGGAAACTAGTAAGTTTTATACATGAACTCATCATTTACATATATAACAGAATGTTTCAATTTGCCGAAGTTTCTTAAAGTCAAATGAAAACTTCTGCCAAAGACACAAGACTTATCCAGTTTTTGAATAAATTCAAAGTTATTTTTATGAGATCTAATTGCATATCCTCTTCTCTCAGTGTGCTTGGAGTTCAGTTTACCTGCCTGGGAAAAGTGGGGGGAAGAACTCTGATTTTCCTGGATTAAAATTTATAATTCTAGGGAATCTAAGTAGTTAAAACTGAACACYAAGATATTTAAACTTGTAATGTCATCTCAATAGTAGCATGTCCTTCAGAGATCTATCTTTCTGCCCCAAGAGCTCATGTCAAGATAGAAAATGTTGTGGGTTTAAATTATGAATAGACTTTATTACAAAGAACTGAGGCTTTCAAAGTTATTCTTGATGGGCCATTTCTATCCCTAGCATCCTTTCATGACAACCTGGAAAACATAGCAGAAACATCACCTTCTGCTCTTCATCCCTGAATATCACCTRATCCTTTTAAGAAATTACAGTTGTTGAGATTATTTGGGAAGATGCCAAACTTTGACAGACCTCTAAAATGTTTGGAAATCTCCGTTTCAAGCATGTATTGGCCTCATCTAGAAAACAGACTTGTTTTTGAAATTGCAGATGAGAAAGACTGTAAATAAAACAAACCTCACAACCATCTATTTTATTGCCCTTAACAACTGACCACTAGAGGAAGTGTCTGAGAAGCTGCAGGCATATCAAGACCGACAGCAGATTGTCTGAGCTACCATTGTGCTTGTTTTTAAAATAATTTTTAAGAATCAAACCTTTTTACTGTTTTCAGCAAGCTTTTTTTTCATTGCACAGCTTACAAAACAGCAGTTGGTTTATTATTATTGACAAATATCAAGAAGACTTCAGGAAGACAAGAAATACTTGAAAACACAGTGAGTAACTCTGAGGATCATCATGTACAGTCACTTTATAGCCATAAAGCTACCCATACCTGCTGTGCTTCAGTWCTGCAGATACTGCTTTTCTGTAGTAACTCCATTTTTTTATTCTCTTACTTCAAAGTAAATACAGAAAAATAAAGAATGGATACAGTATATCATACTATATAAAACTTGGAAATGGCTAGGCAGAATGAAAAATGGTGCCTATGTCTTCTTCCCATTAAATGGGAAAGTAAGTTGGGATCTTATAACTTATTTTAATAAAATACAATATGATATGCACATTGAGGTTGGAAGTTATTTTGTATTCAACTTAAAGGATGAGTGTTTTGAAATAAAGGGTTTCAAAAAGCCAAGGAAAAACCCTCAAATATAAAGGAGGCATAAATGGAAGAATTAAACAGAGTACTGTCCCAAGACACAAGTTTGGAAAAAGAAGCATTTGATTTTAAAATTCACAAGTCACTGTTAATATAAATAAAATATTTAACAGTAATTTCAAGTGTTCTCAGTTTAACATCCTCCAAGTTAATATTTTTACCCTGCAAGATTTACTTATGCTATTAATCAGTCATTCCTGTTGTCATTATACGGACTTTACTGACACTTTACTTGTGTCAATTAGGCTTTTAGGATAAAACACACAAGGTAACAATTTAAAAAAAAAAATCAGTTGTTAAAGGAATCCATTTGTTTTATACGCTTGGCATTTATAATCATCCAAATATTTATAGTAGGAGGCAAAATTATGTGTTTTTTTAAATGTAACAATCCAACATATTTTGTAGACCCTTGCAATGTAATTGCACAAAATATTATGTCTGGTGGCTGGTTTGCCAAGGACATATTAAACAACATCTGTGCTTGTTTCATACACTGCACATAACACATTCAAACAAGTTCAGTTATGTTCACTGCACATGGGAGTGTGACTTCAGAGTAATGTTAAACTGGAATATAACACTAAATAGCACAAGTGAACATGGGACACAGCTTCAGCTGCAAGGGCTAAAAATGAGACTACAAACCCTCCAAGAATGCTGGATTTGGCTGTGCTTGGTATTCTGTGATGTGTCCCCACACTGATATTAAATTGCTATAGTACAATTAAAGTTAGCGTTGGACATCCTGGCTACGCTACACCTGCCTCCTCAAAGTGCTGTGTATGCCTATTGTGTTTTCTGTAAGTCACAGAGTTTTATATCCAGCACTTTACTTTCCTTACTTTGTTGTCCTCTGTTTAGACTAAGGTATTATACAGGCATTTACAGYGCCAGAAGTATGCCTTGGCCCCTGTAATTGGTAAGAATAAACAAGTTGTAAATCTAATGCAAGACTTCACAACTTCTTGGCAATTGGGAGGGGATGACATCAGTCCCATTTACACTAAGGCCAGCTGTCAGATGAGATGTAAAATTTTATAGGATATTGGAAAATTGTCCTGGAGGCCAGATGTGTCTTGAAAGCTGTCAGCTGGGCAAGCTTTGATTCATAGTGTTCATAAATTCATTTTATGTTACAAATGATTTTACATTCAATTCCTCTAAGCAATTACCTGCCTCACTTTGTGAGTACCAGGTAAAATTTGAAGATGACAAACGATTTATTTCAAATAGGACATACTATTTTTCAGAAAAATGTATTATCCAGTGTGCTACAAGCCAATAATTACACCCTCAAGACAGACAAYGACTGTTCATTTCAGAATTGTGTACCCAGGCCTGTGTGCTCAGTGGTGTTCCAAAAATGAAGCACATTGACTATAAAAATTTCTTAAACTTAGTAAACCACAAAAAAAAATAGTAAAATTTTTCCCTGAATACAATCAAAATGCCATACAGATTCTATTTCTGTCCATGTGCAGTTCATGAATCCCAAGTTAGTTTCAGCTTCAGGGGTCCTGGTCAGATCACCACAAAGTTGTAGGAATATCTTTGGTCTTTGTGCAATAAATTCATGAGTCCGGTCCTTTCAGTTTCAAGGCTCTGTGTGTGATTAGCAGTACCTGATAAGGTCCTCCCCACTTCTCAGGAACTGGAGTATCTTTCCAGGTTTTCAGGCAGACTTGATCTCCATGTTTTAAAGAATGTATTGGTGACTTGATTGTGACTGGTGTTCCAAGCAGCAAGTACCTGTGCAATAACCTCGGAGTTTTAATTAAAGACAAGAGATAATCTGTTAAAGCTTTCTCCCCTACCACAGGCATCTGATCAGCTTTTCCTGTCAGAGTCTCATTATGTGGTGTACCATACAGAATTTCAAAATCTTCTGGATTTTTCAGTACAATCTGGCAGACTCCTTCCAATGTAACAAACCAGTGGYTGAAAAAGGAACCTTTACATTTACAGGGTTTTGGTGTGCCCAAATTCTACCTCCATTGGACTAAATGCATCATGGCCTCCAATCTTACAATCAGTTTCCCTCTACAAGCAGAACAGCAATAAGATACTTTATTTTTCTCTTCCATCATCATTAGCACATATTAATCAGACACTAATAACCTGCATTTTTTTTTCATCACCATTTATCTTTCTCAATGAGAAAGATAAATCCACATAAGGGATTTCATCCTACTTATCCAATCTTCTGCAAAACCACAGTTGCAGCATGGTATTATCATTTAATGTACCCATTTCTGGCCACTTTTCCTCACCATCCAATTTATATTTTGGCCATCGTTGAGTACCACATTCCTTTAGCCTCCACTTTGTAAGAGGGTCTCCACCAAACTTATCCCAGTGATTCAAAATGCATCCTAATGGAGAACAAGAAGGTTTAACCAATTGTCCCATTTCATATTATTACCCAAAAAGAGAATGATTTTTAACCATGGCTTCATACACTCCACTTGTCACTGTCAAGTATGTATGAATTTTCAAAATTCTACTACACAATACCAATTTCACAATGTTATATCAACMCCATTACACAGTCTCTTTTCATACATTGCATCTTTGAGTCTCTTACCYGCTCCTGGATGGGAAGATATTTTCAGAGTCCCTTATCAAAAGGCTGATGAGTGCTGGAGTTCCATAGTGCTACAAGTTACATAGTTCTTTTATTACTTAGTAGTCTTGTCTTCTTTTGGCTAATGATTCTCTTGCTTCTCATGCTAMTTAGTGCACATGCTCAGTGTTTCTCTTCTTTTGGGTCAGTGGGTTATTTGGGTCCAGTGGTCCATGAGTCTGTGGTCACAATCTGCCCCTGCTGTAATTACCTTTTACGCAGTCAGAGCTGATTTCAGCACTGTTGCTAAGTTGACTTTAGTAGTTTCTTTCTTATCTTGGGAGTTCTGCCAAATATGAGCCTTGTGGCCCATAAATTCTGCATTCTTTGTGTCCATTATYAGTACGTACACATCCTTCTTCCCAAGTTTTGCTAACCTCCCCCTAGATCTGAGATCATCAAAACTTGTCCAGCTGTTAATTTTAACATGGCGATGCTACAGACAAGTCATTTATCTTTCTGATACCTGAAAATCACTGAGAGCTTGTTAGTTGCTCTCTTATGATGGATTAAGCCTCCTTTCTTTTTGATAAGGAATGGTTTTAAACTGAAGGAAGGCAGGTTTAGATTATATATTAGGAASAAATTAATYACTGTGGGTTTAGTGAGGCTCTGGCACAGGCTGCCCAGAGAAGCTGAGATGCCCCATCCYTAGAAGAGTTCAAAGCCAGGTTGGATGGGGCTGATACCTGAAAAGGTAGGCTAGAAATAAAACCCCATAGACTGGTGTCTATAGAGCAGGTATTTGTTTATTGCAGCACTGGAGGTRAGGGAGAACATTCCACCTATCTCACTCAATTCTATTAAGTGCTTGTGGCTTTTTTATACAGTAAGTATTGCTCAGTGTTGTCACCGTCACTATGACCATCACTATATATGGGTACAGAACCAAATAGCATAATAGTTATTGAACAGTTTTATAAGTGCACCTGTGCCATCCMCATTTAGGTGGTCTCAGGGGTCTTTTTCAATGAAGGCTCAAGGTCTTCCTCGCATATGAATTTTTCAACTTTGTCTTCAGAGCACGCACAGTCACGGTGTTTTTTTCCGGTCCTCAAGTTCTACATGTTCCATTTTTTGGCTAATTGTCCTTRTATTTGCCAAATTCTCATTAGTGCATCCTATTGCTTCTTAATATAGCTCTACTTGTCTAGTTTGAAATACTTGTCTGTTTTGAAATAATCCACCGGGCAAGTTTGTTTAAGCAAGTAACTAGTTTAACCATATTTAGCTAGTACACTGTATGGAAAGCTATTGCACTATATAAAAAGCTATTACATTGCATAGAGAGCTATTACATTGTATAGAAAGTCTGGATCATAACTTTYAATCTTCAACCATATAAGCATCTTGTAACTTTGACCAAGCTATATACACATCACGGCTTTGAGCAACCTGTCTAGTGGAAGGTGTCCCTGCCMAYGGCARAGGTGTTGGATCTGGATGWGCTTTAAGGACCCTTCCAACCCAAACCATTCTGATTCTATGTCGCTGTAAGTTACACCGCTAACACCCTGTGCAGACAACCTGCGGTTCACAAACGTTGGGATTTTCCTTCGTGTAAAAGCAGAGTGACGCTCAGCTAACCATGCCGAGCACTGCCATCAATGGCTGTGACGGGCGGGTAACCCCGCACCCGCTGGGCCGGAGGAACCCCGGGCGCCCCTCACGGACCCTCATGGCCCCGCACAGCTCCGCACGGACCCTCACGGCCCCTCACGGACCCGCACGGACCCTCATGGACCGGCACGGACCCTCACGGCCCGGCACGGACCCTCACGGCCCGGCACGGCCCCTCACAGTCCCACCCGGTCCCGAAAGCCCCTTCACAGCCCCTCCCGGCCCCTCACCGCCCCCCTGGAAGATCCCGGGCCCCGCTCCGGGGCGGGCACAGCACAGCCGCTGATGGCGCTCGGACGATCCCGGGCCCCGCTCCGGGGCGGGCACAGCACAGCCGCTGATGGCGCTCGGACGATCCCGGGCCCCGCTCCGGGGCGGGCACAGCACAAGCTGCTGATGGCGCTCGGAGGATCCCGGGCCCCGCTCCGGGGCGGGCACAGCACAGCCGCTGATGGCGCTCGGACGATCCCGGGCCCCGCTCCGGGGCGGGCACAGCACAAGCTGCTGATGGCGCTCGGAGGATCCCGGGCCCCGCTCCGGGGCGGGCACAGCACAGCCGCTGATGGCGCTCGGCCGCTCCCCCGGAAGCGGCGCCATTTCCGCCGGCGGTTGCCGGGGGGACGCGGCCGCCGTGAGGGACAGCGCGGGTCGGCTCTCGGCGCTCCGCCGGGATGTTTGTCTACCTGTGCAAGAAGGTGCTGCTGGGGACGCGCGGGGCGGCGGAGGGCAGGCTGCTCTCGGGGCAGGGGGAGCGGCCCTGGCGAGTCCCGGGGATCCGSAGCGCTGAGGGGACGCTCGGGGTCCCTCGGGGAGGCCGGGCTCGGTG